CCTTCCCCAGGGCCCCCTGTGTTCCAGACTGGGTTCTCTCTTGCCTGTTCTCATCAGACTGCTCTCACCTGCCCCCACCCCATGCTGTCCTCCCCCCCCAGCCTCCTCAGCTCCCTGCCGGTAAGCCCCTGGGTCTGGAGGAAAGGCCCTGAGGAAAGGAGATGGTCCCTTTGCAGGGGGGTGGGTCTAGGTGTTTACACTCCCAGTTCCCAGCTGGGGCTGTGGAGAGATGAGGGTGAGAGGCAGGTCTGTCTGGGGACCTGAAGGTCACTTGTCTGGGCTGTCAGGGGAGTGCAAGGCTGAGGGGAGACAGGCCAAGCCTGCTGGGTGGCTGTGAGACAAAAATATAACAAGAGATGATGAGCTCATGTGCAGGCCTCATGAACTTTAAAATAGGGGGCACATGTGTTTCCTTTCAGCTGTGCCTCTCTGCCTGGTCCGTACGGACTGACCATCCTCAGGGAGGCTCTGGATGTCTGGCTTCATCATTTGGTATCTTTGCCTCTTTGGTTGTTCAGGTATCATAACTAGGTTAGCTATTCTTCCACCAGGGAAGCCAGAGGGGTGGAGGAGGGACCACAGGGCTGGTGTGTGTGTGTCGGGGGGAACCCAGCCTGTGACTTGCTTGTTTTGGTTATCTACTGCCACGTAGGGCTTCCCTGGTAGCTCAACTGGTAAAGAATCTGTCTGCAATGTGGGAGACCTGGGTTCGATCCCTGGGTTGGGAAGATCCCCTGGAGAAGGGAATGGCTACCCACTCCAGTATTCTGGCCTGGAGAATTCCATGCACTGTATAGTCCATGGGGTCACAAAGAGTCAGACACGACTGAGTGACTTTCACTTTCACTGCCGTGGAAGAAATCACTCCAGTGTATAATGGCTCAACAGAGCAGTCAGTTGCATTTCATATCACTTATTATATGGAACTTATTTTATGTCAGGCACTATTCTAAGTATTCTACATGCATTGACTTACTTATTTCCCATAACAACCCTTTGAGGTGACTAGTATCTCCATTTTATGGAAATATGGGAAATGTGGAAACTGAGGCGCAGAGAGAAGCTGAGTGGCTTGGCCCAGCTCACTTGGCTGTAAGTAACAGAGCTGCCCTTGATCGCAGGCAGCTTCTTTTTAGGGCCTGTGCCGTAACCACTTGTTATGCTGCCCTAAGGAACACTTGCGTCACTGACTTAACTTCATTAGAGAACTTAGCTTTTTTCAGCCCAAAGAAGGGCTTTGTGTCCTTCTTTGCCAGAGCAAGGGGGCCAATGTCTTGAATTATTAACTCCGTTTTGGAAAAGTGCTGCCTCTAAGAATCAACTAATTAGAAAATTTTCCTTGTCTTGACACTTCTGTCCTCAAAGCAGTTTCTCTTTTTTCTGTCCTTCTGTACCTTTCCTATGTTTATCAACTATATATATACATGTTACATATACGAATGTGTATACATCAAGAAACATAAATGTATGTTTGTGCTCCTAATTCAGAATATGTTGACTGATGGGTATGCCAAATAAAATAATAAATAGCTTTTGGAATTACATTGTAAACACAGGAAGAATTTCCCACCCAGTTCAATAAACACAATAATCTCCATAAATACAACCACTGGGACTTAAATAAATAAAAGAGAATAAACACAGGGCATGTGACTTAACCAGATGGCTATTTGCTGTTGCCAGATGTTCAGCTATGGACCGACACGAGGTACTGACATGAAGAGCAGTGATCATTGCAATGGGCTGCCTGTGCGCACTGGCACGGTGTGTATTAGGCAGTAGTGGACATTTTCCCTTTGTGAATATCAGCCACTGGTGAGGGCTGTCGTGGATGAACATTAGTGCTGATAAATATCAGTTATCAATGGACATTTGCTCCCTGGTGAAATGAGCTGTCATGGAACATTGAGCATCAATGGGCAAAACCTTGTTAACCTATGATGACATCTAAAGTCTCGGTGGACATTAGGTACAAGCAGAGGTAGGTCTCTCCTGCCCACATGCCTGGCAGTCTTGCCCAGAGACACATCCTATGAGCTGGTTTGGAGGCAGTTGATGGGTGATAGTATCTCCATACCCTCTCAGAGATGTAAACTGCTTGGTCATGACAATTTGGGGAAACCAGGGGGTGGTATGATAACACTCATGGAGGGAAATTTCTGGCTTTTCAAGATCTAAGCACAGCAGGACTGGCTTCAATGGGCAATGGGAACTTAGAAGGGCCCCACGCTTGGTTTAAGACTCTGCTCTTGCCATCTTGAATTCTTAATAATTTTGAACAAAATACCCTACATTTTCATTTTACCCTAGGTTCCACCAAGTATATAGCCAATCCTGAAGCACAGACTCCTGGCCGGATGGCCCTGTCACCTGTCATGTAACCTTGGGCTGCTCCTCTCTGAGCCTCCATTTTCTATCTGTAAAATGGGGCCAGGAGGGGAAGGATTTTATCTTTGGCTTTTCATGCTCTGCAGGGCAGGAGACCCGAGTTTGATATCTAGGTTGGGAAGATTCCCTGGAGAAGAGCATGGCTACCCACTCTAGTATTCTTGCCTAGAGAATCCCATGGACATAGGAGGCTGGTGGGCTACAGTCCATGGGGTCGCAAAGAGTTGGACACAACAGAGTGACTCACATTTTCATGCTCTAGAGTCCATGGTCTGATTGGAGATACTTAGAGTTGCATAACTCCACCCCATCTTTTCCTTCCAGCAGAAAAATAAACGGAGTCCTAGTGTTTATTGGTTTCTCAGAGCACCTCTGCCCTTTCTGACATGTGTGACCTGCACAGTTTACCTGGACACTGAGGTAGGACAGCCAGGAATGCCAGACTCGCCACCTGACAGATGAAGCCAGGAGCAGGATAGTGTCCTCAGCTGTGTATGGTGACTGTAATGCCCAGGGCAGTTATGGGGAGGAAAGGATCGCATGTATACCAGGTCCAAGGACACGTGCCCAGTAAATCACAACTGAATTATTAATGAAGTGCAGTGAAATGTTTGTGACTTGGCCTGTGCTATGATGACAAACTGCTCAGCTGTTTCCCCATCTCTAAAACTCAGCTGACATGTATGTTAAAGGTCTATTCTGCCTAGGTGCACAGAGCGAAGATCCCACGGACCACACTATGGCTCTGCAGGTCTACTATCCTAAAGCTTTATGAAATCCTTCAGGTCTGAATCAGACATCAAAATATGAGTCTACGACCACGTGGTTCTACAATCTAACTCATGATTCCATGGTTGAATGAATGAGAAAACAAGCATCTCTGGAGTCTGTACCCGATCCTTTACAAATGTTACTTCCTTTCCTCGTCATACAATCCTGTGCAGGGAGATATTTTCATCCCCATTTTCCAGGCTCAGAGAACAAATGTGACTTGGCCGAAATCACACACAATTTTAACCCTTTTCTGGGAACTCCAAAACAGAATGTTTGCACTAATCTCTGTAACTCTGTAAGAGTCCAATGACCTCGTTCTCTGCCCCAGGATTCCAAGAGGGCGGAGTGTGGCGGGATGAAGGCGGTAGGGACGACTAGGCAAACTGCACTGGTCCACATTCGCCTCCAGTGCCTCTACGCCTTGCTTGGCCACCCGTCTGATCTGGGGTGTCTGGCCATGCGCGACCACGAGGTGGCGCTGCGGGCCGAGAGCCTCCGGAGGGGCCGCGGGAACGCCTGGTTCTGAGAGACCACGCAGGCGCCGGAGGTGAGTAAGGTGATGCCCTCACTGCGAAGGAGCCCACCCTCCTGCTGGCGCTTCCCTCCCTGCCCCGTTTTGCAGATGTGGAAGCTGAAGCTCAGGGCCAGGTGACTTGCAGGAGCCCCAGCTACCTTTCCCCAGATTTCAGCGCCATTAATTTTAAGACCCCCCTATGTTCCATAGCCCTCCCTCAAGGACGCTTTCTTCAAATGGGGCTTTTAAGACCCACTGGGTGAAAGTCTTAGGGATCCCTCCCTCCACCCCTGTATTTGAGACCTCTCCTGTCCCAAGGAACGTGGGAGGATGAAGTACCAATCTGAGGGCTGTGAAGGCCGAGGTCTCACTCTGATCCCTTCCTGTCCCGCTTGCTTCAGACCTTTTCCATTTTGGTGGTGGCCAGCCTCTGGTTCAGAGACTCCAAGCCCTGGGGGGCTTAAGCCACGTGATGGGCAAGCACCCCAACCACACACATAGCCTTAATGTCCTGGGAACCTGTGCCACTGCTCACCGATAGCACTTCCTAAGTGCCAGCCCCCTCTGTCCAAGTCCGCTTGTCCTTCTTGACTCCATGGATGAGCCTCCTCCAGGAGGCCTTCCTAACCCCACCACAGGGCTCGCAGCTTCCTGCGCTGCTCTTAGTCAGGGGTCCCCTGTGTGTCCTTTCCCCTCCCATCCCAGGAACTTGAGTCCCGGGGCACAGAACAGAGGATAAGCTTGGTGGTGGTGGTGACGGTTATGGATATATTCCTGCAGATCTTGACCAGTTAGAAGGAAGAACTCGCTAACAGCAGAGCCATTCAGATGAGCTGGAAGTGGGTTCCCTGTCACAGGAAGTATGTGAACAGGAGAGGGTACCACAGCATTCAGATGCCAAGAAGGATCACAGTCCTACTGGAGCTTAGAGGGAGATGGCGGGGGCGGGAGGGGTGGTGGAGACCTTGGGGAAAGCGTCTAAGGAGATGAGGCAGAAACTGGGTCTATGAGGCCAGGAAGGAGCAGAGAAGCTGGGCTGGGGGTAAGGGCCACGTCCCAGAGCAACAGCCTGAGCAAAGACAGAGGCATGCAAGGGCCTGACAGCTGGAGCTGGGGAGGCAGGGAGAGAGGAGGTAAAGAAGGCGGACAGAGTGTGAGCTGCACAGAAAGGTTCCACCCCAAGGAACTCCCTCCCTCACTCCCCTAATCCTAGGAGGTTATTGGGCTTTTCAGAGGGAACAAGCTTGTCTTGATTCATCCTTGTGGCCCCAGAGACCCGTCTGGGGAATGTCAATGGATGCTGGTCAAATGATGGCAAGAGGGAGACTCTTTGTAGTGTTTATTAAACCAAGGTGTTGGGTGGGGCTGCTGGGGGAGGACAGAGCTCTCATTGTCCCGTGGGCGTCTCTAAGGGACCGGCCCCATGGATGCCAGCATGGCGATGTATGGCTGGCTTCTACCCAACGCCTCCTCTCCCAGCTCATCCCCAGGACGCAATGTTATAAAAGTGAACAAATGCAATGTCTTCTTTCTTTTACAAATGACATATTTCCAATCCCCTGCCAGCAGGGACCTGGATGGGGGGGAGGGGGGGTGTGGTGGTGGTAAGTGACAGTCCATTAAAAAGGCAACAACTTTTATAAAACTGATACTAAGGAAAGAGCCCAGGGCTGGGAAGCTGAGATGCCAGCCTGGTGGGGAAGCATAAACATGGGTGGGGGATACCCTGCTTCCTTGGCTGCATTCGCAGTAGGATGAGCTGGGCTGTCGGGCACAAGGCCAGTAGGGGCTGACTGCAGGAGGCCCCTTGGAGCTGGTGGGGCTCCAGGACGGCATCAACTCCTGGGGAACCAGCTAGAGGCAGGACCTCAGGGGTCAAGGAGCGCATTTCCATTCTGGATGCTGGGGGATGCCTCCCGAGTGGGAAACTGGCAGGGTTGGGACTGGCACCCCTGAGGCTTCCAGGGCCTCCGGGGTGAACTGACTTAGCCTGAGCCACAGCTAGTTACCAGGCCCAGAGTGCCACCCTCAAGGCCCTGGCCTGCCCTCCTGGGGATGACAGGGAAAGGGTACAAATGGGAGGATGTGAGTCTTGGAAGCAAAGGGGAGCCCAGGAAGGGGAGAGGGAGGGCATGATTTAGAGAAGAGAGAAAAGTGCAACCAGGCCCTTTGGGCAGGCATGTGGGACACTGAGTTCACTCATGCTTCTGCCACTGTAAGACCTCTGAACACCGTTTTTCCTTCTCTAGGCCTCAGTTTCCCCATCTGTCACATGAGGAAGTGGGCTTGACGCTTTTCTCCCATCCTTTCTACAACTGAAGTCCTATCCAGAGTTCCAGGGGAAGAAAAAAGAATGAGGTAGGCCTCACATGGCCAGAACAGAGAGATTTATGTCACAGAAGAAACCCACGTCTGAGTGGCTGGACCTCCCTCCCGCCTCCCTCCCATCACAGGGTCAGGTTGGTCCAGGCCTCAGGGAAGGCACTTTGGGGACAAGTGGGGAAGGACAGCAGGGGACTGCTGTCCGGTTTGGCATCGAAGACCCTTGGCTTATGGTCTGGGGAGCAACAGAGACAAAGGCGCAAGACTTTGCTCCTGGGTGTGGGTCCCAGGTTCAAAGCCTCTCTTTCAATGATGCTGTCACACAGGAATGGAGAGTCCCTGTGGGCATTGGCACATTAAAATATAAATTACCCAGGACCTGAGGAAACCCAGGGCACAGTCTGTTACAGGGCCCCAGGCCGCACCGTTCGTCACAAGGTATTGGAGCCCTTGGCGGCTAACTCCTGGGTGTCTATGCAGTGCAGGGCCACCTTGGGGGTGAAGCCAGGCTGCCGGGGGTAGGTGCCCTCCCGCACCAGGCGCCGGCACTGCACGCCCTGGCCCACGCTGATGCTCTGCAGTGCGGGGAGGTGGACGAGCAGCTTCTCGGGCAGGGGCACCAGGCCCGTGCCTGACAGGTCCAGCTCCTGCAGGGAACCCAGGCCTGAGAACACCTCAGGTCCCGCCCACTGGAGCCTGGGGTTGCTGGACAAGTCCAGGACCTGCAGGCCCTGCAGCTCGTGGAAGCCGTGGGGCACCAGCTGGGGGAGACCCTGCAGGCTGCCCAGCGACAGGTGAGTGAGGCCCGCCAGCCCCTCAAAGGCGCCGGGGCCGATGGCTGCCAGCGGGTTCCCGTCCAGGCTCAGGTAGCGCAAGGGCAGGCCCCGGAGGTCGGGCACAGCGCGGAGCCGGTTCCAGGCCAGGTTGAGGCTCTGAATGGTGGGCGCCGGCCGGCCAGTCCGCGAGGAATGGGGCAGCAGGCGGTGGAGGAGGTTGTGGGAGAGGTCCACGTGCAGCGCCCTGCCCTGGCTGTGGGTGGCGAAGGCGGACACGGAGACCTCGCGGAGCCGGTTGTGGCTCAGGTTCACGTCGCTCAGGGGCGAGCTGGTGAAGCTCTCGGTGGGCAGGGTGGCCAGGCCGTTGTGGCTGAGGTCGAGCGACTCCAGGTAGCGGAGGCGGGAGAAGGCCGTGGGCGAGAGGCTGGTGAGCAGGTTGTGGCTGAGATCCAGGCCGGACAGCGTGGTGTAGCCCGGCCCTGCCAACACGGACTCGTTCACTGTCTCCAGCCGATTTGAGGACAGGTCCAGGTGGGCTGTGTCCAGGGGGATGGGCACGGGCACGATGTAGGGGCCCAGGCCGCTGCAGTCCACCCGTGTCAGGCTGAAGCTGTCAAAGAGGCCGAAGGTCTCCACCTCGCACTGGCACCCAGGGAAGCAGGGCCGGGTGGTCTGGGCCCTGCTCGCGGCCAGCAGCAGCAGCAGCAGCAGCAGGGGCCACGGCATGGTGGGGCTAGAAAGAGAGGCACAGGTGAGGGTTGGCAGTGGGTACCCCGTTCCAGCAGTTTCCCAGGTAGCATTAGTGGTAAAGAACGCGCCTGCCAATGCAGGAGACATAAGAGATGCAGGTTCGATCCCTGGGTGGGGAATCCCCTGGAGAAGGGCATGGCAACCAACTCCACTATTCTTGCCTGGAGAATCCCATGGACAGAGGAGCCTGGAGGGTTACAGTCCAAAGGGTCACAAGGGGTCAGACACAACTGAACCGACTAAGCATGCACGCACGCACCCCATTCCAGATGGTTCTCGCCCACCCTGGAAGACACCAACCAACGTGTGTAGGCACAGCTGAAAATTGCCACCTGCCCCTCAGTGCCCCTAAAGGCTTTCCCTGAATACCCTGTCCTCAAATAATTCCTAGTCCCTGTTCCTCTCTGGCCTCAGTTTCCCCATCTGTATGATACAGTGAGTTAGGCTAGATGGCTGGGTTTTAAATTGGAAGTATGTGAACCCTTTCTTGAATAAGATTGGCAGGTGACAGTGGGCCTGTTCTGGTTGATGTGAAGCGGGGAGTCTGAGTCTGCCATGTCTGTTCACTGTCCTGCCGTGGGATGTGAAGGAACCCAGCTGGAAATGCACTGGACAAGATGTGTCTTTGGCTGGCCTCTCCAGCTCGGAGGATCTAGGCTCCATGGGCTGGTCTCTCCCCAGGTGCTACTGGGGAGGGGTCCCAGCTTAGAGGTCTGGGTGCTCCCCTCACCTCTGCTGAGCATGTGCTACGGGCTCGGTGCTGGGCTAGCTGGCGCCCTGCACGGTCTCACTCAACCCTCACAGCCACAGAAGCTGCACCGCAGCGATCTTGTCAGCACTTCACGAAGAGGGAACTGAGACTTAGGTTCAGAAAGCCATGCACGGCCACACGTGAGTGGAGTGGAACTGAACGGCGCTCAGAGGGACATGGCTCACTGTCATGGTTTGACACTTGGCTGAGCTGTGCCTGAGACCCCTGCTCCAGCTTCCCAGACAGAGGCCTCTCCTGCAAGGGGGGCCTGCAGCGCTGTCCCCTCCTCACTCCTTTTGAGGGTAATGATAGCTGGGTCCACAGGCATAAGCCCTCTTCCCTGGCCTGGCCTCTAGGGGCAGGATCCTTCATTCCAACCAGGGACCCTGCATCTAGACTTCCAGATGGGCCCTGGGGACCACTCTGCCGAGTACCTTCCCCTTGCCCACCTTGACCCCCAAGCTGTTAAAGTGATTACACTTTTCTGGCCCTTCCTTTAACCCACAGCAGGCAGCTGGGCTGTGTCCCCCATTATACAGATAAATAAGAGGCTCAGAGACAAAAAGGGTTTTACCCAAAACCTGTACGGAAGAAGCAGGGCAGGATTAGAACCCAGGCCTGCTCAGTCCTAATTCTTCTACTTTCCTGTGCTGCCTCCAGGACTGGCAGGAGAGATGCGATCGAAGAGGAGCTCTTCCCACCGACAGGGGCTACAATGCAAGCCACTGCCCCTCCCCTGACTCCCTGTCCCTCCCTGGATAACTAACAGCAGCTGCCACTGATGCCAAGCACTACCTGTACACTCTCACCTTCAACACTCATCCCCACACACATCTGTAGCTCCCTGGAGGATGAGAGAGGGGGCTGAGCAGTGAAAGAAAGCTTCTAACTGGACAGTCTGTGGTCACCCTCTCCCCTTAGAAAAGCAGCTACTCAGCCCGGAGATAGAAGACACGAAACCTCACGCCAGCAGATCCTTCAGCTGGAGTGGCTCAGCTCCCTGCTCTGCACCCCCTGCCCCATCGTCCCCCCATCTTCCTCCCCCTGGCCTTTAGGGAGGGGTGGACTGGAGAGGAGGGTGGATGGAGGGGAGCAGCGGGATCACATTACCAGTTCCACATGAAACTTTAAAGGGGCAGCCACTTGATCTGCACTTGGGCTCTTCTCCCCGGCCTCCCTCTGCAGGCCCCTCCTCTCCCACCCCTTTCTTTTGTAGAGCCCAATTTGAGGATTAAACCCAGCCCAGGTGCATCCTGGGCTCCGTCCCAATTGAGGCTGGACAGAGTGTTCCAATGTCTGGAACCAAAAGGAAAATATTAAGTTGCTTCACACCCCTTTTGTTGCCCGGGGTGAGCTGCTCACAGCAGGAGTTCATTACTACCTAGGGCCTCACCTTCCCTGCTAAGCTGATCTGCTCATACCCACCCCTTCCTGGGGTTTAAACAAACACCAAATGCACACAAAAAGGCCTAAGATTACCCTTCTTTCCCAGAGGTGATTATACAATGTGCCTCTCAAGTGCCAAACAGCCCCTCATGAGCTCCTGCTTATGTAACTCAGCTCAGCGCTCCCCTTCCCTCCCCTCGACGGGGGCCTCTCCAGCCCTCAGCTTTGTCCTCTGTACCACAAGGCAGTAATTCCTGCCTGCCTCATACACACTGATGCAAGTCACACACAGCTCATGCAAACTGTGAAGCGCCGTGCACGTGTGCTTGGTGGTCATCACCGGCCCTCAGAGGAACAGGAATGTGGATGGAGACCTGCCTGGAACACTGCTCCTGATGCTCCCAGGACACCCCAGACAAGGTCCCTGCACTGTGGACACTTCTCTGTGGGCCCCTGTGCTGGGCCAGGCCGGGACATTGAGCGGGAAGTGCTGACAGTGACCGAGCCTGTCCTAAGTGCCAGTCACATGTCCCCTTACGCCATCCTCGGTCACTGCAGGAGGTCATCAGTCTCATGTCCGTGTTGCAGTGGAAGAGACTGAGGATGGCAAAGGAAGGTGCCAGAGGCCAGCAAGCGCACTCAGGCCTCTGTCACCTCGTAACTGGCTAGGTTCGGGTGGAACATGCACTTCTGTGTGTTGCTGGGAAAAGAAGAGCTAAGCGGCCAGGGTCCCAGGGCCAGGTTCCAGCTACTTTCGGCTGCCGTGATCATCAGTGCCCAGCTTCCTAACACTCAGTGGCTCTTGGGTGTTCCTGAGGTCACAGCAGAGCCCAGAGGCCTCTCAGGGTTGTCCCAGGAGGCTAGGAGAAGAAAAAAAGAAGAGAGAAATCTCTGGAAGGTTTCTCAACTTTGGAGCCAGAAGGGGGCAAAGGTAGAGATGTGGGCTAGTGGTCTTTGAGGGTTGGTGCCCCTGCTTTGCTCAGAGGCCATGACCCCTTTTGGGTAACACAAGGAGGGGTGCATTCGTGTGAGTGGCTCAGAGATGCTGGGGCCTGGCTTCGCTGCTTGGAGCAAAAGGCCCAGCAGCCAAAGGCAGGGCAGAAGTTTCCCAGGAGGAAACTGAGGGAAGATAAGGAAAACCCCTACCAAGGGCACAGCCCTTGATATTTTCCAAAAGACCTTTGCTTATTTGAGCTTGTGAGGGCTACAGAGCAGGGCGTGCAATCCCTCGCTTTCTAGATGAGGAAGCTGAGGTCTCTCATCTTGTCTCTGGGTCCCCAGTGAGGTGATGGCAGCTGATGCTCAGGCTCTGATCTTCTGACTCCAGGCCCAGCGCTTCCCAGTCCCCTCAAGATGCCTGTGGAACTCTCCTAGGGATCTTATGGAGTCAATAAAAATAGTGCTCAGAAGAGTCTGCAACCTCATGTAGGAGGGGGCTGATGCCATAATGCTAAGGATCATGAGGGTAAATTGCATGCTAAGAAAATTATACATTAAAAAAAAACCCAACCTAAATTATAATTTTAGAAAGTCTAGGAGAAAATCTGTCAACCTGGTAATGTTCTTCCTTTAGATGGCAGAACTTTGGGTTTCACCATGTCTTAATCTCCTTTCCCCCCTCTTATTTCCTGTCTTATAATAACTATATATATATATAAACCAGACTGAGTAATGAAGACTCATAGGACTGTCTCATGGCCATCTCTTTCTCTGACCTTGGCTAGCCACAATCTCCAAGCCTCAGTCTCCTCATCTGTGCCATAATGCTAAGGATCATGAGGGTAAATTGCATGCTAAGAAAATTATACATTAAAAAAAAACCCAACCTAAATTATAATTTTAGAAAGTCTAGGAGAAAATCTGTCAACCTGGTAATGGTCTTCCTTTAGATGGCAGAACTTTGGGTTTCACCATGTCTTAATCTCCTTTCCCCCCTCTTATTTCCTGTCTTATAATAACTATATATATATATAAACCAGACTGAGTAATGAAGACTCATAGGACTGTCTCATGGCCATCTCTTTCTCTGACCTTGGCTAGCCACAATCTCCAAGCCTCAGTCTCCTCATCTGTCAAATACAGGTGTTAATAGCCATCTCACAGGCCTGTCATGAGGATGAAACACACTGGCGGGGGGAAGGCACCTAAGCATGTTTCCCCGCACAGGGGGAGGGTACAGTGGGGGCTCCCCTGCCCTCCTCCAGACAGGGAGTGGGTGGGGTGGGGATTTCTCTCCCTCCAGCAGACACTATCAAGCATGACAAAGGTCATACTACTGCCCTCCAGAAAAGCAGTTCTTCCTGGGAAGTCAAGCTATGCTGTTTCTCAACAGGGCTGCTGGGTCTGGGAAGGGATGACTAATGCGAGTTCCTCTTCATAGCCTCAGCTCCACGGGGAGGATAGGCCCGCACAGGGTGAGAAGACTCGACATCAACTTGCAGTGTGAACTTAGCAAGTCGCTTGACCTCCCTGGACCAGCTCCGTCAGCTGTGAATCTGGGATACTAATGATGGTTCCATCAGCCTCAGAGAAGACAGCTGTGAAGGTGAGACTCAGAAGACCAACATCCCTATAGAGAAATGAGGCCCCAAGGTGGAAGCCATATGACTGAAAGACTGTGCCTTTTCATTCCACCTCTACCCGTATCCACGGCAGACACAATTAATCAACCACAGCACTAAATTGCTGAGGGCAAAGCAGTCTGTTAGGCCCTGGGAGGTGCATGCTGGGGTCAGGGCAGGAGATCCCAGGGCCTCTGTCCCCATGAGGCTTACAAACCATCAATGGGGACAGGAGACCAACTCATATCGAGATCACTAGCACCTGCCTTAGATCCAAGAGACCAGGACTCTAGTCCCAGCCCTGCTACTAACTGTGTGAACTTCAGAGTTTTCTTTCTTTCTTGGAGCTAGAACTGACTCTGCCTCCTTCCTTCTCTCAAGACCCTGTGATCTACGCTAGGGAGAAAGGCAAAGGCACACAAATATTCACCATGGAAGGCCAAGAGAGGATACTTCACTTACTCTCCAAACCCCAACCTGCAGATCAAAGTCATCTACTGATCAGCCATGTTACAGAACATAAGGGCAGCCGGACAAAGGCTTAGTAACAGTACCCACCCTTGGTCTGGGGGATGTGGCATGAGGTCCGCTGGGCAGGGGCCATGAGTGATTCCTTGTTAGGTCCATCCAAACTCTAAGGAAAGCTACAGAGTCAGTGGTGGGACCCTAAGAAGCCCCCCAGGCAAGTCTAGGAGAGCCTCTCAAGCAGCTTTGGCTAGATCATGCCCCTTCTTGGAAACCTCCTGACTTCTGCTTTACTTACAGAAACCAAGTTCTCTCTGGTACACAGGTATCTGCACCTCTGTGCAGATCTGCCCCCATGGTCCTCCCTCCTTCGGTTGAAAGTCCCATCTTGATTTGAACCTGTGGTGGTGGCCTTGGAACAAGTCTCAGCCTTAGCGCACACTTCCCCAAACTCAAGAGGATTCCAGGGCTGGAAGAGCTGGAAGGCCCCTCCGAGGTCACGGGTAACTGAGGCCCAGAGAGGGACAGTGATGGCAAGGAAACAGCATGGCAGGGCCTGGGACCTGGGTTTGGATGCTCCCCACTAGGGCCAGGACAGCCGTGTCCCCAGGCCTGCCCCAGCCCTGCCAGCGGAACAAAGCCTGTTCTGTCCACTCAGGCCCCTGGGCCACTCCCCCTCCTTGCCTGGCTTCCCGGGGCCTCTCGCTCCGTACTGTCAACACACCTTCAGACGCACACTAGGTAAATTCTCTGCCTTTATTGACCTGCCCGTTTCCTGACTTGAAGTGTGAGCATCAAGGGGCGGTGACCCTGCCTTCTTCACCTGTTTGTCCCTTCCCCACCTGGGGCCAGAGCCAGGCCTGGCAGGCATGGCAACCTTGCTGGATGAATGGAGGGCCCAGAAATTAAGAGTCAACCGTGGGACACAGAGCTGGCTGTGAATTCAGCTCTGTACCTACTGGCCTCAGGCACGTCTCAACCTTGTTGAGGCTCAGTGTCCTCAACACGGGTGACAACACAGGGTTGGTGAAAGCGTTAGGGGACAGCGAGTGAAACATTTGGTGCAACTGCTGAGAGGGTAACAGGCAGGAAGGCCAGGGGTCTCCAAACGGAGGAAATAGGCTGCAAGTGTCAGACATTTTTATCTCTCTTAAGCGGCAGGATGAAACAAACTAGTGATATTTTTTTCATTCTCTATACAAATTTAAAAGGAGGTTTCTCTTAAAATACTGTGTTGCCATAATGACACCTGGTTTCACTTGAAGTTAACTATTCTCAAAACTTGACATTTTTCTTATGGAAATGTCTTAAGTTATGTTAATGTCCTATGCATTTACCCCAGACTCTGTCTTCAAGTGGTTCCACCTAATGGCTCAGAATCTACTTAACCAGTATGTTATACTCAGATATTGTTCCCCTAACCTATGTAAACAAAACTATTTGTATGGTAATCTGCCCTTCCACAAGATTCAAGTCAATCGTTTTATGGCCCTGGCCCAGGATGAATGTCTGGTGCCAAGATTATCCCAAAATGCATCTTATGGATGAGGGGCCTGGTGCCATTCTGAGTTTTTAAGACATTCCTTTCTTTTCATTAACAGACTGCTAGTGACTATATAACATCCAGCTTTAGACTAGCAGAGGGGGTACTCTTTCTGCCCCCTTCTGATGCCTATGTCAGAAGCTTTCCTTATCTCTTATACTTTAATAAAACTTTATTACACAAAAGCCCTGAGCGATCCAGCCTCGTCTCTTGCCCAGGATTGAATTCTTCTCCTCTGGAGGCCAAGAATCCCAGCGTCTTTTCGTTCAGCAACCTTTCACTGCTACAAGCTGAGTGCTGAATGCATAGTAGACAAGGACGGTGATGATTTATTAAGCTTTCTGAAGGCCATGACCATGTTATTTGTTGTTCTTTTTCTCCCCACCCAACTACCCTAAAGAGGTGCCAGGCACCCGGCGGGTCTTTGACTACTTGTGCTAACAGCCTCTGGTCACCGTGCTGGTGTCTGCTGGCAAGGCCCCCATCTCCTCTCTCCTCTGAGGCCTATCTGAGACTAGGGTTCCAGCTCGTGTCCTCCTGGTCCTAGTCACCTGCACTCCAGCATCTCCGGCCCACAGATTTGCCAGCTCCTCACCACGTCTTCAAGAGGGAGCCCCTGGTGAAGGGCTGAGCTGGGCAGGGGGCCGAGCACCCACCCAAGATGGGTTTTGTCCCCACTGGCTGCTCAGTGCTGAGTCACGTCCCACCCTGCTTACATTCATCGTGAGCTCACGCAAGCTGACGCCAATGAAATCCCCAGGTGGAAATTCCATCAGTGTCCTGGCCCTCAACCACTTAAGTCAGTTTTGGGAACGCAAGGCAAAAAGAATGTCTAGGGCCAAACTCCCGGAGCCTTGAGGGTTGGCTCTCCCAACAGAGGCACTAATGCCACACATCTGTGCAAACACATCAGCTCGCCATGCACTTCTACAGCAGTGGCTCGTTTCTGCCTCCCCACCACCCTTGACCATGGGGACTCCTGTCCCTGTTCTGCAAGACAAGAAGACTGACACTGGGTGGGGCAGAACAGGAACCGGTCTCAAACCAAATCCAATGCTCCTTATACGGCTGTGCCTCAACCTACAGACAGGCACATGTGGATCGTGCTGGACTATAATTACATTTACCTATCTGTGCTCCTGTGGGCAGGCATGGGGTTAGATTCACTTTTCGGTCTTGGAAGCTGATTGCTAGGCCTGGCACAGAGCAGGTACTATATGAAGATATACCAGGCACTTAGAATAATGCCGCCTCACCAAAGGACAACTCTCAGTCTTTCCACTGCCTCCTCAACTCTCATCTGCTCAGTCACCCTACAGGATCAGCAGGTTGGATGGCATGGTATCTACTGTACGCCTGCCTAGAGACCCAGAGAGGTTCGGTGATCTGCCCGGAGTCACAGAGCCAGTGAGGTCAGAGGCTGGACTCAGGATCCAGGCGTTCTGACACCCGGTGCCTACGCTCCTCCATGACGTCATCCCTGGAGGACAATCTGCAGAGAAATGGACAAGGCTCCCAATACTATTTTCTCCATTCTGAAGCTTGGCAGGTTCCCTTTGGTCTGAGGCATGTGCCCCCACACGGGCAGGCAGTATGGGGCAGAGGAAGTGGCTTTTGCAGTCAGGCACACTGGGCTCCACCCCACCGAACCTCACCTGCTAGGAGGCCTGTGTGTGTCTTCATCTGCAACCTGCTGAGAAGCCTGGTGCTGTTCCCACAAGGTCACCAATGATTATGAGGAAGGCTCAGCTCCGGGCCTGGCACACGCTGGTGCTCACTGCCTGTGGGTTCCTGCCCCACCCCCTGACCGGCGGGTGATTTCAGAGACCAGGGAAGAAAAAGGAGCAGTGACACCAGCAGATCTGAAAGCAAGGTAGGGGCAGAGGATAGAGGAGACTTCAACATGGATTCTTCCTGGATTCTCAGTGCACCTTGCAGGGCTTCACTCGGGCTACAAGTGCTCTGCCAGTGAGCTGATAAGGGAGTGTGGAGATACCGCAGAGGCTGAAGGAGGCTGAAGCAGGTGCGTCACCGCTGACAGAATGAGAACAGGTGAGACTCAGCAGCTACCCCTGGGTGGGTGGCTGTCTTCCCCTCCCTCTCCCCTTGGCCTTACCCAGGTCAGGTTCAAGAGGCCTCCTGGCCAGGACTGCTACAACAGCCTCATTCCTGGCCCTCTGCCTCCAACCGCCAGCCTTGCTGGGCACCAGAGTACCATCTAGACAGACCAGGACTGATCACTGCTCCTGCTTTAAAACCTCTCCTGCCAAGACAGCTTGCCCGTCCAGGGGCCTGTCTTTCTCCTTGGGCCCCACATCTTTGCACAGGCTGTCCCCTTCAGTGAAGACAACAGAGACACCCTTTTCTTTGTCCTCCATGCAAATTCTCACTCATTTGATTCAAAAGTCACCTCCTCTGTGAGGTCTTCCCAGTCTAACTCACCCTTCATCCAGTAAAGGTCACTCTTCTACTGGGCCACCCCTGTCAAGGTTCAACACACTTTGTGATGTGTGGCCATCTCCAAATCTGATGGTCCAGCTCCTCTCCTGCGTGGACCTGGCCATGTGAAGTGGATAAGCCAGATGGGAGAAATGTCCTGGGCAAAAAGCTTCCCTCTGCTAGGAGAGGGTACCAGTTGGTCCAAGCTTGTAGGATACTTAGGGCTTTTGCCAGGTGGTGAACTAAGGTTTAGGACCCATAGTAGATACTGGCTCTGCCTTGTACTGTTAGCAGTTCAACAGATGTCTGCACAATGTAATACAGGCCACAAACCTCATTTTATTAGCACAGGTAGTTTGTCATCCTATTTAACATCCATAACAGTCAGTGAGACCAGAATTACCATCCTCATTTGAAAGATGAGGAGACTGAGAATCAGAGAGATAGAGTCACTTGCCCAAGGTCACAGAGCTAGGAAGCAATGAAGTGAGTGAAAATCTCCTTCTGACTCTAAAAGGCTGGAGCACTCAAGCCTCCAGACTGGCTTCCCATCTTCCCCATTCTGCTGCTTTTCAGCCTTCCTGACTCTTCCAGGGACTCCAGGAAGGCCTTAATCTTTACATAACTTCACAGCCATCTCCCCCCTTCCTCTTCAAGAGTAAATTAGTGCCAAGTCAGAAGGGAAGTGTTAAATATTAAAGTGTCTCCAGGTTCTAGGGTCTCAACCAGTCAGCCACAATAGGAAGGCAAGAAAGAGGCTATCAGCAACCCCTTTTCCAGCAGGGTAACTGAGGCTCAAAGAGGGAAAGGAAAGCGCCCACAGTTGCTTCCTTCCAAGGTGAGTGGCTTGCACCCACGCTTCACATCTGTAGGACCTAGCAAAATTCTAGGTTAAAGACTGGCAAGGGGTGGGGGAGGGAGGGGGGTTGTTGGCTTTATCTTTGCCACCCAGGATCAAAAAGGAGGCTCCTGGCAGTCTGAGCCCTCCCTCTCAGATCAGACCTCAACTCTGCAAGTCTGGACTTATCGAAGGGTAGAGTAGGCAGGGAGGATCAGAAGCTCCTGAGTCACCTCCTCTGCCAGGCAAGTGTGGGTGGGCACTGCACTCTGGCCGTCCTTGGCTGCGCTACTTATCCCCACCGCAGGCTCTGCACCGCGAGGGAGTTCTCACCCCATCCAGGATAGGGGGACTGCGGCTCAGAGAGGTTAAGCAACTTGCCTAGTGCCAAACTGTGGGCCAGTGGATGTCCCATTCGAAACTAGAGCGTGCAAGGTTCCTACGGCCTGCAGCCCAGCTGGAGGGCCCGGGAGCCGTCATCACCTTCTCACCTTTTGGACTAGAAGGTTCAAGCCCCTCACCCCAGGGGCGGGATGCAAACCGAGTGCGGATCTCAAAGCCAAGGAGCGGGAGGAGGGGGAGTGGGGCCCCAGGGGCTGGCCTCTCCGCCAAACAGACAAGTTTCTCTCGGTCACATACACTCTCCAAGAAGCGTGGGGCGGGCCACACCAGGTGCCCGTTCCTCTCCTCTCTTTAGCCCCCAAGTAGGGGGCCAGTATCCGCTGCTTACCTCTCTTCTCCCAGCCGCTTCGCCTGGGGTGTCCGGCACGCTCTGCCCAGCCTTGGCTCGGGTCAGTCTTCAGGCGCTGCCGATCCCCCCACCCACCCATCCTATTCCATCCCCTCTCGGCTCTAAAGACCCCTGAGGTGAAGGAAGGAAGGAATGCCAGCGCCCTCCCGCCCCCCGGCCCGGGATGCAGCTGGGAGGAGGAAGGCGGAGAAAAGTTTGAAGCGAAGTCGGCCCGGGTGGACTGCAGGGGAGCGAGGAGTTGGGGCGGTGTCTGGCTCTCGGCGCGCACAGACTCCGCGGACACCCAACCCAGACACGTCGACAGGCACAGACCACGTACGCGGACACAACGATGCGCCCACCCACACCCACAACCAAACGCGGGCCCCCACCCCGGTTCCTTGCCCCCTTCCCCAAATCACAGACACACAAAGGCACGGGCAGATGCATGTCCCCGGACCAAATTCACAAAGACCCACAAACGCACGTGTCCGCACAAAGACCCCAGAGGCGCCGGCCGACGCCCACGGCCCCGGGTCAGAGCCTTTGTCTCCTGGAAGCCCCCCTTCTAGGTCCGGGTTCCTCACTCTGGCCGAGCCCCGGGCGTCAGGCGGCCGCTACCGACGCCCTGGGTCCGGGAAAAGTTGAGGGGCCCCGGCCCCGCCCCTGCGTCCAGCGCGGCTCGCCCGCCGGATGGAGCGGAGAGGCTGGGGTAGGGGCCTCCGGTCCTTCGCCTGCAGCGCGAACTCCCGCTCTGCCCGGGTATCCTCACCCACCTGGAAGCCTGCACCACAGCCGCCTCGGCACGCTCACCCAGGCGGCCCGGCGGCAGGCCCTCCGGCCGGCGCTTTTCTCGGCTCGGCTAAGCCCGTGCCTAGGCCGGGTTCCACCCTAGGGAGCGTCTCAAAAGTGCGCATGCAGCTCCCGCCCACTCTAGCAGGCGTTGCTCCTAGCTTTCTGCATCCCCGGGTCCCTGCCCGCTTCCCCCGAGCGCCTGAGCCTTCTTAGCAGATGGCCGCTCGGTCGGGAACATCTGGAGGTCGCTGGAGTGTGTGTATGTGTGTGGAGAGAGAGAGAGAGAGAGAGAGAGAGAGAGATGTTTCATTAAGAAAGAGATTGGATGGTGAGGGTTCCCTCTTATCGAGTTCATTCCCCCGCCCCCCGGCCCCCGGTTCCCCAGTTTTTTAAAACGGTTGAAAGGTGAGAGGGAGTCCAAGAATCTGAAGCAGGGAAAGACTGGCTGAAAGACAAATCGACAGAGAGACAGTCAGACTTAGGCAGAAAAGCTGGCAAGAGAGGAGAGAGAGAGGGAAACAGAATTTTTTTTTCCTTTTTTCTTTTCCTGGAGGAAACCATCGACTTCTGGTTAGATTTCTAAGAAGGAAAACTGGGAACAGTTTAAATCTATTCCTCCCTCTGCAGCCCATCCTCTCTCACCCTATCTTATGGTAAAAAGTGCAGAAAAGCATCCAAGAAACCTTTTCTACTTGGGAGTTGGGGGAAAGAAATTGCCTGTTGGATGCATTCCCTACAAGGAGTGTGTGTGTGTTTGGTTGGGGGGCTTGATTTTGTGTCTCCCTGCACACCCAGACACTCTGGGGTTGAAGGAGGTGTTAGTTCTCAGGCACCCCAGAAGTATGTGGCCTGGGGACTGAGGGAGGTTTTGGCCTTGAACCCTGGACCTCCCAGGAGCTTTCCTGCTGTGTAGAGATTGGGCAGTGTTCCCTTTACAGTAGCCCAGACTTGCACACCCAGTCTTATTGTTCCTTTTAATTAAAAAAAAAAATTTTTGCTTGGGCTTCTGAGTCTGTGTCTGCTTGTCTGCCTGAGGAAGGAGAGAGACAAGTGAGGAGATGGGGAGGGAGGAGTAGAGGGCACTAACCCAGGCCTCAGGGCAGCAAAAACAAATCCGCTTCCCAGAGAACAAAGTGCTCTTGCAGGTCCTCATTGGCACTAGTCTGTGTGGTTGCATGGTGGTGGTGGCGCCGACTCTGCTCCCCTGGGATGGCGAGGCCTGGGGGCCCTGGCAGTTAGGAAGGTGCAAGGAGAAGGCTGGGAGCCTAGTCCTACCAGTCTGGGACAGGGAAAGCTCCCCTCCCTCCTTTCTACCTCTCATTGTCCTCCCCTGATTAGAATCCCAGCTTCTAGAACTGGGAGGCCACCAGCTCAGACATCTCATCACACTGTCTTTGAAATTGTACCATAGTCCTCTTTGCACTGTCTCCTCACAGTCATACTTAATAAGGACGCTGTTGACATTCAACTCTGCATCCCCTAGTGGTTCTCTGTGCATCCTGGGGCCCTCAAGAAGGGTCAGAGACCTTCCCACTCCTTCTTCTGGGCCTGGAGGTGGGAGAGACCTGCCAGTTCGTGCCTGGTGAGAGCCCCCATCTTGGATAGGGTTCAGGTTCCAGCCCTGGCACTTAATAAGCTCTGGGTTATTTTAGGGAAGTTACCTAACCTCTCTGAGTTTCTGCAGCTGTAATAGAGCTGTTGTGAGGAGTAAACAGTAACTTAGTGAGGCTTTAGTCTGGCTGATAGGAAGTGCCATTGTGGGTTGTTATTACCGTTATTATTAAACCAAGTTGTCTCTGATCAGGGATGGTGTGTGTAGTCTGGAAAGCTGAGCTGGCTTGGGAGGGGAGAAGCCAGGGGAATGGTCACTTGACCCTCTGCTCATCTAGCCCACCTGCTGGCCATCTTCTGCCCTCCCGTGGGGGAGGGAGCCATCTTTCAAAGGACCCCTCCCCCTCAACCTTTGCCCCGTGCTGGAGAACTTGCATCCTCCCCTCCCTTAATGTGGAGTTCTGGGGTGAGGCTCAGGCTCAGCATTTGACAAAGGAGATAAACACTAACTCTAACTCCCACTGCCCTTCCTCTGCAGGCTCTAACCTCAGAGGCTGGAGGCTCTACACCCCTCCAAAGGGCCTCTCACTTAATAGAAGCATAACAAACCACCTTCACACCTTGGCCTTAGGCTGGCGGCAGTTTCAGTGTACTGTTACATTCATCATTTCCCTTGCTTGATCTTTTCTCAGTGGGAGGTGGCCTCTGGAGACTTTGGATTGGGCATCTCCATCAGCCCTCTCCCCTTCCCCCCACAATGGTCCTTTGGCCTCCAGGCTCCTCCTCCTGTCTGCTGTTCATGCTGCAGTAAAAATGACCTTTTGAAACTGCAAATCTGCAAAATGGATCAGGACGCTTGCCCCCTTAAAACCTTTCAATGGCACAAGTCAAACTCCTTGGCTTCAGATTCAAGGCCCAGGTAATATGCTCCCCTGGATGCTTCCTTTTCACTTCTGGTTGCTCCCCTTTTACACATCCCAAGCTCCAGTCCTCTAAGTCACATAGAACTAGAGGGAGAGAGGGAAGGGAAGGAAGGGCCTCTGAATTCTTCAAATCTCTGTCCAAATTTCCCTCACACAGAAACTCAATGCCTGGTGAATTTGGTCCCTCCTTCTATTATGTTGCTACACCCTTTGCACATATGCACTATCACTTTCCCCATTCTCTTCCCCTTCTTGTGCTCACATTGTTGCCAAAATCTTGACCCCCTGTCACCCAGTGCTGAATAAAAAAAGTGTGGAGACAGAGTTTGGAAGAAATAGAGAGATGGCTTCATCTTTGCCTGGCAAAGGGGAGTACACAGAGGGCTAGTGCCTCAAGAACTGTGCCCTGCTTCTATTGGGAACAGGGAGAGATTTTATATCCTCACGAAAGTCTTGTATATAATTTTTTTTCTGCAAGTTTACAGCCAAAAGCTGGCATCAGGTAGCTCAACCACCGGTTCTGGTGTCTCTGAAGTTATTGACTGTGAGCTTCTTCCTTTGGAGGTGAAGAATCCTACAAGGGAGTGTAGGGGGAGAAGAATGCCAGCTGTAGAATATAATTTATACAGAGTCAGAGAGTAATTAGTTTTGTGAAGGACAAGACCAGCTACAAGTGTTTGTTAGTAGTAACAGCTAAAGAATAACCAAGACTGTTTAACTCTTGCAGTTCTGTTTCGCTGGTGTGTACGAAAGGCTGTTCACTCATTACTGTTTTTGCTGCAACAGTTCTGGCTGTTATCCCACGCCAGGGACTGTGCTGGATACTTTTACAGTTATTACATCATTTAATTCCTGTAACAGCCACCCTAGATTGATAGTGATGAGGCCCAGAGAGGGTAAGAGATCTGTCTTGGGTTACACAGTATGTTTTCTGCAGAGCTGGAACAATATTTAGGACTCTAGTGTTCTTTCTACTACCTTACAATCAACACAAGAAGCAGAATGTGGTGTGGTAGAGAGGCCTTGGCACCTAAGAGTCCCAGGTGGAAATCATTGCTCTGTCCCCGGCTACCTGTTGACCTTGGGCTAGTCACTCTTTCCCCCTGAGAATCAGATTCCTAACCTGTAAGATGAGAATAAATAAGAAACTATACCTCACAGAAACTAAAGTGCCTCTTGATGAGGGTGAAAGAGTAGAGTGAAAAAGCTGGCTTAAAACTCAGCATTCAGAAAGCAAAGATCATGGCATCTGGTCCCATCACTTCATGGCAAATAGATGGGGAAACAATGGAAACAGTTACACTTTATTTTCTTAGGCTCCAAAATCACTGTAGACGGTGACTGCAGCCATGAAATTAAAAGACACTTGCTCCTTGGAAGAAAAGCTATTACCAACCTAGACAGCACANGTGCTTAGTCGCTCAGTTGTGTCCGACGCTTTGCAACCCCATGGACGGCAGCACACCAGGCTCCTCTGTCCTGGGGATTTTCCAGGCAAGAATACTGGAGTGAGTTGCCATTTTCTTCTCCAGGGGATCTTTCCAACCTAGGGATCGAACCCAGGTCTCCCACATTGCAGGCAGATGCTTTACCAACTAAGCCACCAGAGAAGCCCATGAAGCGCCAGGATCTCTGGCCATTCTTCTTGCTGTGTTTTCTCCTTTCCAGTTGTCAGAAAGTTAACAGAGCATCAAGACCTTGTGAAGAAATAATGGAAAAGAAGAGCTGGAAGAAAAATAATGTCAGTTCAACCTCCTGATTCTGTAGCTCTGGGTTAGCCTGCCGTAGGTTGGTTTTTTTTTTAATTAATTAATTCATTTATTTTCAATTTTTGACTGTGCTGGGTCTTCGATGCAATGCAGGAGCTTTCTCTAGTTGCGGAGAGCAAGGGCTACTCTTCTTTGCGGTGAGCAGGCTTCTCATGCTGGCTTCTCTTGTTGCAGAGCGCGGGCTGTAGGGTGCGAGGGCTTTAGTAGTTGAGGCATGTGGGCTCTGGAGCACCCGTTCAGTAGTTGGGGTGCGCGGGCTTAGCTGCCCTGCGGCATGTGGGATCTTCCCAGAGCAGGGAATCAAACCTGTGTCCCCTGCATTAATAGATGATTCTTGACCACAGGACCACCAGGGAAGTTCCATACATTGTGTTTTTTAAAAACGCCTATGGTGGTTCAGTAGAGGGATTGGGGGACATGGCCGAGTGCCTTAGGGTTTATAATGTCTTTCCACAGATAGTCTTATTTTGAAACCTCTCAGGAAAAATTTTGGGTAGTCTTTTATCACCTCCATCTTACAGATATGGAAATTGAGACTCCGAAGTGACTCATCCAGGGTCACACAG